CACAAACACAATTTCCAAACAACTTCCAAAAACATTTGAAACATCTTTTCGAAAAGATACACACCTTTGTATATACTCAAACACGAGTCATTACAATGGTTGCCTAGACAAGGCATCTCTTTCAAAACATTTTCAAAAACACACACACACACACACCACAATTTCAAGCAATTGAAAATCAAGGCAAGTGATCTAAAACCAAGTAACTAAGAGCCCATGGATAACCATGGATGAAAAAGGTGCTAATACCTTCCCTTTTCATAATCTACCCCCCGAATCCACGAAACATCTCAAAAGGTTTTTCCTGTGCTTTTTAACCTTTCCTTTAGGATAAAATAAAAAGTCGGTGGCGACTCTTGTTAAACCGAACAAGTGCGAAAACAAACGCAAAACCTCAAGTCAGTTTTCCCACCGTATCACACGTGGGAAATAGACTGATTTTGGACGAACATAATTACAATTCCCAAACTGAACGACAAAATTTCCAAACTCTATATCGCGCACTTATAAGTTATTCTTTTAATTTGTATTCATAACCTGTGATATTAAAATCGATTTTTTTAGTTATACACATAGTAATGTTTACATTTTAATTCACAGATGAACAACGTTCAATACTTCATACGATTATGGAAGTTGTAGACAAGCAAAAATGAGGGTTGTTTTTTCTACATGGTTATGGAGGGACCGATAAAACTTTCATGTGGAGAACATTATCAAGTGCACTTAGTCCGCAACAAAAAAATTGTTCTTACCTTTGCTTCAAGTGGCATAACTTTGTTATTATTGCCAGGTAGAAGAACTGCTCACTCAAAGTTTAAAATACCAATGCCAACACTTGACAACTCTACTTGCAATATTGACAAAAACGACGAACATTCCCAGTTATTTGAAGCAACCGATGTTATAATATGGGACAAAACACCTATGTCTCATAAAAACTGTTTTGAGGCATTGGATAATACACTCAAAGATGTTATGATCAAACACGGTATTGCGAATACAATCTTTGGTGGAAAAGTTGTTGTTTTTGGAGGAGATTTCAAACAGATACTTCCAGTTGTTCCAAGAGCGGGGCGTTCTGATATTGTCCATGCATCAATATGCTCATCATATGTATGAGACTATTGTCAAGTTCTAACACTAACAAAAAATATGAGGCTGCAACAGGGAAGAGATAATACAAGTTCGAATGAATTAGATGAGTTTTTAAAATGGATCTTAAATATTGAGGATGGTAAGATATGTGAACCAAATGATGAATTGTTGAGATAGAGATTCCTCAAGAATTATTGATATCTAATTTTGATGATCCTATAAAAGCTATTGTTGATAGCACATATCCTAATTTGTGTGACAATTTTCAGGATGTTGACTACTTACAAGGAAAAACTATTCTTGCATCGATCATTGAAGTTGTGGACATAATCAACCACTATGTACTGGATATGATACCATGTAATATAATTTTAACTTTAATCTATACATATGCACACAACTTCTAACAACAGATTTATATCATGTTGATTCTATTAATGTATTAATATTTTCACTTCATGAAATTTTTTTAGGAGAAGAGAAAGAGTATCTAAGTTTTGATTCAATTGATAGAACCGATACAAGTTATACTGAAGCTTATGAAGTTCTAACCCCATAATTCCTAAGTAAACTAAGAACATTGGGGCTTCCAAATCATAGGATCAAATTGAAAATTGGTACTCCATCACACTAATGAGAAATTTGGATCAAACTGATGGATTGTACAATGGAATAAGATTAATTGTTACAAGGTTAGAAAATCACGCCATTGAGGCTAAAATCATGCCAGGAAAGAATATAGGTAACATTTTTTATATTCCTCGAATGTCTATGTGACCTTCTGAGTCACCGTGGCCATTCAAGTTGATTAAGAGACAATTTCCAATCATTGTCTCATATGCAATGACAATTAATAAATCCCAAGATTAATCGTTTGATAATGTCGGATTGTATTTGCCTACACCTATTTTTAGTCATGGAAAATTATATGTTGCAATTTTGAGAGTTACAACTAAAAGTGGTCTTAAAATCTTAATACATGACAAACAGAATGTACGGTGTTCGACCACTACGGATGTTGTATACAAAGAAGTCTTTCAAACATTTTGTTAGTTGGTAATCCTTTTCACATATTCCTTTGTGATACAAATTAAATCTCAATATTTAATTTATGTGTTTAAATACTACATATTTACATTAATTTTTAAAAAATATTTAATATTTAATATCTAATTTGATATATTTTCTCATACATATCCAAAAAAAAAAAAAACATAGGTGTGTGGTCACTTTTGTGAACCCAAAACCCTTAACCGAATAAAACCCTAAGTGATCTAACCGCCCCATCCTTATTTTCATCCGCCTCATTGCTCTCTTCTTCGTTATCTCTCTCGCATTTCCTTCAGTTCATCGCTTCCCCTGTTTCAATTTTCTTTCCCGTAGCAAGATTGTGCATCTAGCCATTGACACATAAATATTGATCTTTCTGGTTTGATTACTCTCTTGACCGTGGATCCTTTGCTTTGTTACTTTTGCAGGACTCACAGTGCTATCAATTTTTGATGGTTTTTCATGTTTTACCTCGTATTGCCTATATGTCGTAACATTTTCAATTTGTTTACCCATTTCACACATGCTCAAGTTCAAGCTGAATCAATCAAATTTGAATTCCAATTCTGATTGATTCTACCTAGAACCAATGTTGACCCTCTCCAAGTTGAAGAAATCATTCCACACCCCTTGCTTATGCGGGTTCCGCAGAATCCACAACAATTCCTCCGATCAACTAGCTCTTCGTTTCTGCATCTGGGTTGCTCTCAAATTCGACACTCTTACCAGCAAGCCCTATTACTTGGTTAGTCGCATCCTTATCCAAAAGAAATGGCATTCCTTTTACTGGGAAGCTCTTGAGCTTCTCAAGAAAAAAGGGGTTTTAGTCACTTCAGATTCCGTTAGAGCTTTAGTTAGGTCTTATTCATACTTTGGTCATACCGAAAAAGCTATAGAGTCATTCAGTAAAATGCGCGAATTTGGTGTTATTCCCGATGCTCATATGTATAACACAGTTTTGAGAGATGTGTTGAAGGAAAAGTTGTACGTGCTTGCTTTTGCTTTGTATAATACCATGCTTAAGTCCAATGTTGATCCTAATGACTATACTTATAACATGTTGATTGATGGGTTTTGTAAAAGTGGTAACATTAAGGGTGCACGTGAGATGCTTGATGAAATGCAGAAGGTTAGTATTGTTCCTAGTGTTGTATCGACTACTTCGATTCTTTATGGATTGTGTCGGGCGAATAATGTAGATGAGGCGCTTATGTTGTTTAATGTTATGAAGGAAAAAGATTGTCCACCGGATATGATTTCTTGTAATGTTGTGTTGAATGGGTTTTGTAAAATGGGGAGGTTAGAGGAAGCGCTTTCTTTTATATGGTTGATAAAAAGAGACGGTTTCTCGCTCAATCAAAATAGCTATAGTTCTCTTATTAATGCCTTTTTTAGGGCTAAGAGATATAGTGAAGCACATGCGTTGTATACGAGGATGTTTAAGGAGGGCTTTGCACCTGATGTTGTTTTGTATGCCATTATGATACGTGGTCTGTCAGAGGAGGGCAGGGTTGGTGAAGCTGCTAGGATGTTAGATGAGATGACTCAGATAGGTTTAACTCCTGATGCTTATTGCTACAATGCTATAATTAAAGGTTTGTGTGACACGGGTCTTTTGGATCGAGCACAGTCTCTTTGTCTTGAGATTTCTGAGCACAACGTTTACACGCATACGATTCTCATATGTGAAATGTGTAAGCAAGGAATGGTTGATAAAGCACAAGGGTTATTTAATCGGATGGAGTCGCTTGGATGTGTTCCATCGGTTGTGACCTTCAATGCGCTTATAAATGGATTGTGCAATGCTCATAAACTCGAGGAGGCAAGTCTTTTACTTTACAAGATGGAGATTGGGAGAAGACCTTCGTTAATCTTAAGCCTTTTTCAGGGTTCTGGTCAGATTTTTGATAGTACTAGTCTCCAGAAAAAAGTGGAGAAAATGTGTGAGGCCGGAAATTTTTTGGATGCTTACAAGTTTCTCACTCAACTTGCTGATAGTGGGGTTGTGCCTGACATTATTACGTACAACACTCTAATCAATGCCTTTTGCGGGGCTTATAATATTAAAGGTGCTTTCATGCTTTTTGAGGATCTGCAAAAGAAGGGTCTCTCACCTGATACTGTTACTTATGGGACACTTATTAATGGGCTATATAAAGTTGACCGAGAAAAGGATGCCTTAAAGATTTATGACCGTATGCAGAAGGCTGGCTGTGAACCCTCCCTTTCATTATATAAAGGGCTTATGACTTGGTTGTGTAGAAAGAGCAAGGTCTCGCTGGCGTTCAGTCTTTATTTGGAATATTTGAAGAGCCTTCCTAGTCGGGACAATGATTCAATCAGTGCGCTGGAGGAATATTTAGTTGGAGGAAAATTGGACCAAGTGATTCAAGGTTTACTTGAACTGGACTTCAGGGCCAGGGATTTTAAATTAGCTCCATATACAATTCTACTTATTGGATTCTGTCAGGTAGGAAGAGTATATGAAGCATTAATCATATTCTCTGTTCTTGACAAGTTCAATATCAAAATCAATGCTACAAGTTGTGTACATTTGATCAAAGGTCTTTGTAAAGAAGGGAGGCTAGATGACGCAGTAAACATATTTCTTTACACTCTTGACAAAGGTTTCATGTTGAGGCCAATTATTTGTAATCATCTCCTTGTGTTTCTTCTTGTTTCCCAAGATTACAAGGACTGGGCTATTGATCTTATTGGTAGGATGGAATCTTTTGGATACAGTTTATGTTCAAATGAATATAGCAGGACAGTGTATCTTATAGACCAATACCAAAAGAGAAAGCAAAGAAAAATTTATCTAAGAAGAGATTAAGTCATGTTGATTGATTCAGATGAACGCGTTTCTTTATGTGGCTCTTCATTGAATATCCCCATCTAGGAAACTGGTCGTGAATCAAGAGGCTCGCTACTCATTGTGATGAACCAACGGTGCCCTTTAACCCTTACAAGAATCAATTAAGAGGTATATTCTTGCATGCTGCCTTGCAAGGCTTTTACTTCAAACTAGGAAATGATATGTCTAACTAATACGGAATCTAAACAATTGATATTTCAGAATTTCTTTATTGCTTTATGATTTTTTAGAGCGATTGTGATATGGGAGTTGTTTTGTACGACGAAATAGGCACATCCATTTTCACTTGGACTTTTGGTCTCTGTTAGGTACTTGGTTTGGGCCTAAGCCCACCAAATATGTCAAATAGAGGAATGAGTTATATTTGCTGATGTGGCTAGTTGGTTAGAGGGGAATAATAGTTATATAAAGGATAGGGATAGCAAGGGAGAGGGTATTGAGAATTATTCAGTTAGGAACCGTAATGGTTTGGGCAGAGAGAGAATTGTCTCTTCTCTGAGGAGTTTTGCTCTGGGATTGTAGGGGGTCTATCTTCTGTAATAGTTACTGTTCTTCCATTGATAATATAATTTCTTTTCCTCTTGAATTTGGGTTCCTAACCGTCTCTGACATGAGATACCCACAAAGTTTCTTTCAGTGTGCGTTTGATTATTCATTTGCACGTGTTCCAATGCATGGAAATGTATGAACATGTCGCTTGGTGCTTATAGAGAAATTATCGTTTGGGCTTGCTACCCCAATGGAAAGACAAACACGCACTATTTTATTTTTTGCTGTGGGATCGTTTTCTATTAAATTCATTAACATTTAAAATGTTTCCGTGATGTTGGGATTATTAATGTCATTATTATTGACAGTTTCGTTAACTTCTTGCAGGGCTGGCTGATTTTGTCGGGGCAATTTTTTGCTCTATTGTTCTGCATGATTGTCATCACATCTTATAGACCATTCATTTGAGGTTTTTTAAGGGTGTTTCAGTTTGTTGTATGCTTCAAAATATTTCTTTGTTTACACCTCATAGTCTCAAGCAAATAATGGCAATGAATACAGAAAGAAGACAACCATTTTCCATACGAACATTAGTTGTGGTGATATCTCATATAGTGTACACTAGTAGGTAAGGCTGTCTTTCTTAGTGTGTTTGGATGGAGTATTTTAATGAGGGAATGTAATTTAATGAAGGAATTTAAAATGATTTCATCAACATCCCTTGTTTGGATAAATAAATGACAGAATTTTTAAAATAATGGAATTTAATTTGATATTTTATGATGACTAATTTTTGAGAATTTACAATTCTAGCTATTTTGATAAAATTGTGAATTCCATCGTTCTCTCTCTATCACGCGCGTTTAGTTTCAGATCTAGCTCACTTCTCTCTCATGGTGTTCTTCTGTGAGATTCAGATCTCAGATTCTCCTCTCAGAAGCTTCTCAATCGTTCGCTTTCTCCTTCTGGTTAGAGCAATCTTTCACATATCACATTATAGATTGCACAGTTAACCATTTGCTATTTAAATAGAAAAAAGGGCTTGAAACCTTTTGCCATTGATTGTGTTCTTTTAAATAGATTAAAAGCATGGAAGCTTTGAAAAGGACTGACGTGGTCATCAATTTGGGATCTGCTTCTGGTCTTTATCCAATGTATCTTTCTTGATCCTATCTATAGTGGTTCTAAAGGTTTGTCATTTAACAATGAATTATGCATCTCCACAAAACTTATACTAACTTACTATTGCTTCCTGGAGTACCCTCTACTCTTAGTATTATATCATTTTTTGTTTTCCAAAAAATTAACTTGCTATAGTTTCCTAAACTGTTTCTTCACTTCACAGGTGTTGTTGTTATGTTTACTAGAGCACTTTGTTTATACAAACGTCAAGGAATCTGAGTCAATGTGCTTTTCGCTAAGGTACGACTTGTTTTAGGACTTGAAAAAATGAATATCTGTTTTCATATTATTACTCTAACCTATAAAAATTTTAGATTCCATTGTTTTTACTTTTTATTTCACCTTAAATCGTTAAATTCTAAGCTATATTACAGTTTACTATATAATCCCCCAAATATTAATGTTTAGTGCAGTTTGTTGAAACTGAGATGGGCTTAAAGGTGGATCCCAAATTCCTTAATATGATGGGGGGCTTTATACCTATGGAAATGGTGGTGAAAGGTAAGTCTACATATCGTTTTGTTATTTGGTGCGCCTTGGCAAAAAGAGCGTGAGTGTTTGTACTTTGTAGACCTTTGAATAAAAAATGAGAATTAGTACGAAACCCATTTCTTCAATACATCAAACTTCACTTACCTTCAGCCGAACTTCGAACTAGTAGGCCTCCCTTCCCAAGGTTTAAGACAAAAAATACACATTATGAGAACATTTAGAAAGTAAAAAACACACATGATGAGAATGTCTCTTAGTTTTTTTGACAGATGAGTGTCCCTGAGTTAATAATTTAGTGATTGGTCTATATTTCTTATCATGTATACATGAATTTTGATGTGAAAATATTTTAACCTCTCAAGGTGCTTTTGAGCTCATCATGGATGAGAGTAAAGCTGGTGATTGCCTATGGATTACTAATCATCAAGGTCTGGAGTATTGGCCAAACCCCATCAGAAGAGGCAAAGCACACAATACATTCTACACATCCCAGGAGAAGAACTGAATACAAAGCTCCATCAGTTAAACTACCCGAGAGTTTTGAGAAAATGTGTGTATTTCTACTCTGATTATCTTGTTATGACACGCATTACATGTATGCCTCTAGAAGGTGTTTATTTTCTTTTTCTATAGTATTAGAAAAGGTGCAATTACATATTTAAATTGGCTGTGAGTTCTTCCTTTAAAGATGAGTTATTTAGTGGTTTCATATTGCTGCTCACTGTTTGCAGAGTTGTTCATACCTTGACTCACAACTTTCGGAATGCTACCGGCTTAGTGAGAGCACCACTGAGATTACCTATCAAATCAAACTATGTTCTTGTTAAGATCATTTATGCTGGTGTAAATGCTAGAGATGTAAGTTTTTACGTATTTCTAGAGGATTTGTGTGTGAGTTTATTTTCTAGCTAGAATTCTGACAAGAACTTGTATTGATAGGTAAATTTTAGCTCAGGCCGCTATTTTGGTGGCAATAACAATGACACTGCAGCCCGTCTTCCATTCGATGCAGGATTTGAGGTATGATGTATCCCCAGACATAGATTTCTTTTATGAAGCTGATCAATTGATGCAGTATGCCTATACTCATGTGTGCTGAATTTCATTTATATTTTAGGCCATGAGAATAATTGCAGTAGTTGGGGAATCTGTCACTGACTTGAAAGTTGGCATGCAGTGTGCATTCATGACTTTTCGCCCCTTGACAAATATAAATTCTATAACCAAAAACCTTTTAGCCCCATATTTCATTTGAAATGCAGACGTGGTCAAGATCTGTTTGCTGACTGTGTCATGTATACCACCATGGACTGGTTATATCTAAGGTCATAACTTAACGCATATACATGTATGCCTCTAGAAGGTGTTTATTTTCTTTTTCTATAGTATTAGAAAAGGTGCAATTACATATTTAAATTGGCTGTGAGTTCTTCCTTTAAAGATGAGTTATTTAGTGGTTTCATATTGCTTCTCTCTGTTTGCAGAGTTGTTCATACCTTGACTCACAACTTTCGGAATGCTACCGGCTTAGTGAGAGCACCACTGAGATTACCTATCAAATCAAACTATGTTCTTGTTAAGATCATTTATGCTGGTGTAAATGCTAGAGATGTAAGTTTTTACGTATTTCTAGAGGATTTGTGAGTTTATTTTCTAGCTAGAATTCTGACAAGAATTTGTATTGATAGGTAAATTTTAGCTCATGCCGCTATTTTGGTGGCAATAACAATGACACTGCAGCCGTCTTCCATTCGATGCAGGATTTGAGGTATGATGTATCCCCAAACGTAGATTTCTTTTATGAAGCTGATCAATTGATGCAGTATGCCTATACTCATATGTGTGCTGAATTTCATTTATATTTTAGGCCATGAGAATAATTGCAGTAGTTGGGGAATCTGTCACTGACTTGAAAGTTGGCATGCAGTGTGCATTCATGACTTTTCGCCCCTCGACAAATATAAATTCCATAACCAAAAACCTTTTAGCCTCAGATTTCATTTGAAATGCAGACGTGGTCAGGATCTGTTTGCTGACTGTGTCATGTATACCACCATGGACTGGTTATATATAAGGTCATAACTTATAACATATTTGCTAACTTGACACCCCCCCCCCCCCCACTTGAAAATCTAGGGTTTACTTTCGCCATTTGGTTCCTACCGTCTTGCTTATTTCTTCTGTCCCTACCGTCTTGCTCATTTCTTCTCTCCCTACCGTCTTGTTCATTTCTTCTCTCCCTACCGTCTTGTTCATTTCTTCTGTCGCGTCTTCCCTCAATTTGTTCCCCGAAATTGATCATTATAACCCTAAGACGTTCAAATAGAGACTAGCAATAGTGTTAGAAGTTGCAATTCGTACGGGCATTCAAAGGTTCCTAGATGTGGATGTTGTTGTCCGATGAAGATCTGGGTTGCTAACACCGTAAAAAATCGTAATAGGAAATTTTAGAAATGTAGGAATGTTGGGGTAAGTACTTGAATCTATGAATTTTGTGAAATACCTAAACCTTTTATGGGGTTAATGTTGTTTTTGTTTGCAGATGGATAATAGCGGATAATAGCTGTGATCTGTTTATTTGGGATGATAAAATTGTTCACTCCATTGGTGAAATCTCAAATTCTTAAATTTATTGCAAACACTGATGTGACAATCATGAAGTTTGATCTGACAGAAAGAAAACTGGAAAAATCCAAGTTGAATAGGAAAATATTCCAACTAAATATGGCAATTTTGATGTCTTGGTTTATCTTTGAAGTGTTGTACAACTATTTGTAATTTGAAGTGTAATGTGCATTTATCATACTCCAAATTTGCCATACCCTTATATTATATTTAGGATTCTATTTAAATAAATTATATTATATAATTTTTATTTTTATGGGAGAGTAAAACATAGAAAAGGGGTGTGTTGATTTAAAATGAACCATCAATATTTGATGGCCCATTAGATTTTTAAAAGAGAGGTTCATTTCAAGTTAAGAAGCAGGGTATATATTGCAAGTCAGGAAGGCCCATATAGGGCACATTTTTGTTAGACCAAATATTTAAAAAAAAAAAGGGGTCCTTTTCAATTTTTGAAATTGTTTTGAAAAATAATGTTTTGTTTTAAACATTATTATTATTATTACTATCAACATCACTATTATTTTTACTATTATTAAATTATATTAATATTATTATTATAAATCAGTATATTCTAAACACTTAATTAGAAAATGTTGTTTTATTTTATTAATGAAAAAACATTTGATTAAGAGAAAGCTAAGATTAGACTTTCTTCACACGGTTCAACTCTCTGCTGCCTTCTAAAACCCAAGCCCAAAAATAAGATAACATTTTTTTAGGCCCGAAAGGAACAAACAAACACTGTGCTAATCATTAAAAACAATAACACATTTTTAAAGCCTGAGAACAACTAGTGTTCAAATTTTGGAAAAGAAATCGAATCGAGTAGCAAAATAGAAACAAGATCAAGCTAAAAACAGAAATTAATTGAATCTTCGTCAATACAAAATCAATACATTTACAACAAGATCAAATTACAATCAAAACAATAATTTTTATTTCCTAATCAACTAACCCCTAAACTGCTATAAAATCTAATATTAAAAAAACAGAATGTGGAGGGAGAAACTGTTACAGTGAAGATTATTACAAGGGAGGAAAAATTGACAGAAAAAACTGTTGCAGGGGGGACGAAATTTGAGAAGAATTTTGAGGAAGAAACTGAGAAGTAGAAGAAGTAGACAAATCTGCCTTCTCGAAGAGAGATCTGAGTTTCAACTTCTGAAACCCTAGATCTGATAGCCCACCACCGCTTTCACCATCATCACTATCCTTCGTCACCCGCGAAAACGAGAAAAGAGAAGAGATCAGAATCCAGAATCAAAGACTCAAAGAAGCACGACGAGGTATTTCTTTTGAAACTTAGCTTAAGGTTGTTGTTCTTGAATTTGTTGTTGTGATTATGATTGAGGTTGATGAAGGTTGTGCCACCACCAGACCTTCGTCGTTAGAGTTTGGCATTCTGGGTTTCTGGGTTGAGGTTTTTCTTTCTCTATTGTATGTGTTGTTAGGTTAGAAAGAAAGAAGAACGAGAGAGAGAGAGAGAGAGAGAGAGAGAGAGAGAGAGAGAGAGAGAGAGAGAGAGAGAGAGAGAGAGAGAGAGAGAGAGAGAGAGAGAGAGAGAGAGAGAGAACATGGGAGGAAAATGAAGATAAATGAGGAGAAATAAAAAAAATAGAAAGTTATACTCTCTCTGCGTGATTCCCCTCCGTTGCGACTCCATGCCTCTTTACCATGCGCCCGCGGTTATACCCCTACGATCTCAATCAAACGCATTATACTGCACGAGATCACTATAGCATCATGCGTGCGTCCACGTGCAATCTCAACGACCCATGAATCCTGTTAGGTCTCTTGATCAACTTTCTGGTCAAATGCCTTTATTATTCACATCCTTCTGTTCCTTATTCTTTGCTCGCCAGGCCAAACACGTACCCCCCTATATTTCTAGACTTAGATCTAATATCTGGATCTAAGACCCATGCTTTTAACACCCCACTATTTTACTAATCTAATATAATTTAAACCCCCCTTGTGTTTTAATTTATTTTCTTCTTTATTTATTATTTTGTAATTTTTATATTTATATATTTATATATTTATAATTATAATATTATATTATTTATTATTATCACATATTTTTTTTAAAATTTTTTAAACTCATTCAAATATTATTTATTTTATTGTATTAAATTATTTCTTAACCATGCATTAAGTAATTTTTTTTTAATAATTAACACTTTTAAATTTTTTTAACAAACATCAAATTATTTTTCATAATAAATTAATTAAACAATTAATTTTTAGAAAATGTTTACGAAGCATTTTTTAATCAACTGCGCGCTTAGTTCAAAATTTCTACTATTCACACATCCGGGCTAATTGCGAGGGAAATTAAAATATCTGCGTAATCTATAAAAAACACAAACCTACCGCGAGCTACAATATGAGACTCTGATTCCTCCTAAGAGGATACGTAGACATACAATCAAAACTCGTGGCGAGTTCCTCTAATTAAAATTAAAACCCTTTTTCTCCTAATTAAAATTAAAACCCTATTCCCTAAAGATTACACTTCTAAATCTAGCATCCTTGTGAACAAGGTAGATGAGAGGTGCCTAACACCTTTCCTTCGTCTAGAACCGAGTCCAAAAACCTAGAATCTCTAACTTTTAGGGTTATCCCTTTATATCCTTTTCCTTAGAATAAAAATTAAGGGTGACGACTCTGATTTAAAAATCAATTACAACAGCTGGCGACTCTGCTGGGGACTCAACCTTAGGTTTAGAAGCCTCTCCTTTAAGTTTTAGAATTTTTTTTTGGATTTTTATTCTTTCTTATTTATTTATTTATTGCTTATTTTGTTTTTATTATTCATTATATTTATTCATTTGTGGTGAAATTTAAATTTTGTAAAAATTATTTTCAAAAAAAATCTTTAGAAAGAAGGTTCGTCTATTAGCCAAAGGGATACATCAATCCTATGAGTTCATGTGACGACTTCGCCTAGAGTCGGTGGAATCCCGCGAAAGGAATACCTCTCGAGAGACATCCTCTTGGGAAGTAGGACTTTGGAATGACACCTATGACTCTTTGTACAACCTAAATTAAAATCTCATGATGAGACCTTTCATGACCTAGAGACAAAAGTTTCGGTATGTAAAGAGGCTCCACTTAAGGGAGATCCTTGTGCCTTTTCCTCTAGTGTTATTCATGATACTCTTAAGAAAACCACCTTATAGGGAGAGTAGAATATCCGTAGACCAATAATAAGAACCTACCTTCTAAGGATACCTTTCATAAGATCTCACCACTAAGCCTTACATTCTTGCATTCATACATTTTTGCATTTCATACACTCATTATCCTCTTTTTTCTATTGTTTGTCTCATTCAGAGGATTAAAAAAGGACAAGTCGAAGGTTTTAGTGAGTGTCTTAAAAATAAATGCCAAGGGAAATAATTTGTCTGTCAAGCCAGATATGACAAACATAATAATCATTAAGGTGAAACTGCCCAAGAGAAATGTGAAGAAATTAATGCTTCCAATAGTTTCTTTTTTGTTCGAATAATTTTTTTCAATATCTGAAATGTATTACCTTTTGAGGAGGTTATTAATAAAACAATTTTTTTTCATATTCAAACCGCACACTTATTTTTAAGATATTCACCGATAAAAAATAAATAAAACCTGGAAAATAAATAAATAAATAAATAAATATATATATATATATATATATATATATATATATATATATATATATATATATATATATATATATATATATATATATATATATATATATATATATATATATATATATATATATATATATATATATATATATATATATATATATATATATATATATATATATATATATATATATATATATATATATATATATATATATATATATATATATATATATCCAAGTGAATAAGATATTCAAAAGTAGAAACCCTAGCATATTCATACATATTCATACGCATGCATTCACAGACACCTGCATTTCATAAAAAAAACTTATTTTTTTCAAAATTCTCTAGTTAAACCATTTGTACAAGGAAGCCATCACCTCCCTGGCCACCCTATCAGACAAGAGCCCACCAACTAAAAGCAATGAAAAAATTGAGGAGAACTAAGCTGCATTCATAGAAGATTTGGAACAAGTCAAAGGCAACGTCGACTCAATGAGAGAAGACATGAGCCAAGTTTTCCTAGTCTTGAAGAAAATTATTGAAAGACCAGAACAAGTTCTTAGGAAAGCCTTTAAATAAATAGCTCAGACCATTGGTGCATCAAGCGGTCACCAACTAAGAAAAGAGCCAGAAGCAGGACTTTAAAAATCAACCATGGCTCAACGAGAGACAAGGCAAGCTGAGACCGAAGGGTTTGTCTCACCTCCACCGAAGGTAAGGGCATCCCATACCATGCAGATTCCGATTAACAACGTAGATGACTACTTATATTTACAGTATAGAGACCACGAACTAGAGGATGTCAATCAAGCACCCTTGAGAATGACCAATACTCAAGCTACTGAGAATACAATGGTGCTCGATCAATACAAATCTCTAGAAGAAAGATTAAAAGTTGTGGAGGGATACAATGCTTTCAATGTAGATGCTCTTGAAATGGGTCTAGTCCTTGATGTGGTAATCTCGCTGAAATTTAAAGTACTTGACTTTGGAAAATATGAGGGAATCACCTGTCCAAGGAACCATCCGCGCATGTATTGCAGGAAGATGTATGCCTATGCTCAAGATCAGAAGCTGATGATTCATTGTTTCCAGGATAGTTTAAGTGGGGCAACCTTGGATTGGTACATACAATTGGAACGGGTTCATGTTCAGACATGGGCAGATCTTGCTAATTCCTTCTTAAAACAATACAAATATAATTTGGATATGGCACCTACCCGCATGCAACTCCAGAACCTTTCATAGAAGAAAGAGGAGTCTTTCAAGGAATATGCCTAAAGGTGGAGAGAAATGGAATCCCGAGTACAATTACCACTTCTGGAGAAAGAACTAGTTGATATATGTTGTACCCCCAA